AGCTCAGTTGTTCTTTCAAACTATGTTTTATACGTATGCCAAATTTAATCGAGATCCGTTCTAGAGATATCTTCAAACACCCATCCATCCATCCACATCACATCCATCTAAACATTCGCATTTATAATATTAGTAGGTTAAATAAAAAGCAGCACTTCAAGGCATAAATTCGAAACAATAAAAAATTAAGAAATGAATAAATAGTATCCTATGTCCGTCTCCTGGCTCTAAGCTACCTCCTCACCAATTTTCAGCCATATCGGTAAAGCCGTTCTTGAGTTATAAATAGTGTAACTAACACGACTTTCGTTTATATATATAGAAATCTTTGATTAATGTCGAAACGTTCATTTTAGGATTTTATAAGTATACTTTTTATTGTGAAATACATATTCGGTACACAAAACAATAATAACATTTTAAAAGTTGTTTAAAATAAATGTTTTAACTCCAATTTAATGTCAACAATTATTTCTTTTTAAATGTCTTTGTATTTTGTTTCGATGACAACTATATTTTTTAAAAAGTTTATATATTATGGCTATTAAAAGACAGGAGTGACTCACCCTTTTCTTTCAAATTGTAACTTAAAATATTCCTTCTCTCTCTCTTAATTATATGATAATTAATTTTATTTCATGAATTAATTGGTAAATATAATTTTATTTTTAAACATAGTGAGGATGACTAGAAAGATTTTTCATAAATATAATATATTTTAGTACTTCTTTTAGACATATTTTAGTATGAATGTATGTACAGCAAATCAACGCTAATAAATAATTTTACTAATATTATAAATGCGAATGTTTTAATGTATGAATGTATGGATGCTTGTGATTTGGTATCTTCAGAAAAGTAGAACATAGTCTGGAAGAACATATAGACTTCTAATTAATTTATTTTAAGTCCGCGCGGATGAAGTCGCGGGCGATAGTTAGTATAGCTATAAATAATGCGTTATTTCGACAGTATTTTAGCCCACAGGCCTCGCGCAAAGGAAGCGTGCGCAAACAATCCGTCATCGTCCTTCCTTTAAGTGTAGTTTTTTATTTGCTTTACTTCTGTATATTTGTTTTATTATTTCGAAATCTTGATTTACAAATTTCGTGAGTAATATCAACAAATGATATTACATTTTAATAGTTTCTTAGTAATTTAATTTTAAAAGCGGATTGATTTATTACGATTACTTTTTTTTGTCACATACGTTTACTTAATTGTGGTTTTACTATGTTCTAGAGTTATTCTGTTACTTATCATTTTATAAGCTATATTTATAAATCTAGATCTATGATTGAATAGTTCAAATGATAGAAATTACTTTACTACTTTTAACTGTGATGTTAGTTTAGATCATCATTATTATCAGCTCACTATCCGTCACTTAAAGACTCGGATCATACTCTAAGTTAGGTGTGTGTGTGAGGCCGTAGTTAACTGACTTCACAAATATCTTTGAATTTCTTCTCAGATATGTGCAGGTTGCATCACGATGTTTTCCTTCACCATCAAAACATCAGATAAATGTACATACTTTTAGACATTATTAATTACAATCCTTTTGCGGGAATGACGTGCTTTTGTTACAAAAATTAGTGTCAGAATGAATCTGAGGGGTTACAAACGTCGACATTTTAGTGAGGCTAGTGTTGACTCAATACTTTCTCATTTTCGGATTTTGTTCCTAACAATATGTAAATCGAAAAGCACATTGGTACAAAGCGGGATGTGAACCTAGGAACAGATTACAAGTCAAATGCTTAACTCTTGAGCCACCGGAGCTCTAGGTGTTACAATATTTAAAATATAAATCATAACAGTCGCGAGCACAGTTTATATAACACATAAAAAAACTACAAGTTGTGAAAACTTAAGAGTGCGCAGTCACGCCATCCAGTTAGCCGACGACGCAGCGTGTCATTATCTCAGCATTTATTTAATTTTTGTAAAGAAAATATGTGAACTTGTTTTTTAACTGGACGAGGAAATCGGTTTAGTAAAATACACATTGTTTGCACGCGATATTTTAAAGGAGTCAACTCGTCACTATCGTATACATTTTTACAATGAATATGACAAGGATAATATCTCCTCATACAATTCTGATAACTTTTGACTCATTATTTAAATAATGTTAAAAATTCACAGAATTGAACATATAGGTAAAACAACAAACAACAGTGGTAGAGCCCGCTTTAACATCTTCGCACGAATTGGCCCGGCTCACCCGGTGAAATACCACGACCACACAGAAGACAGGCGTCAAGTGGAAGCAATTCCGCGTTCTGATGAGTGTGCGTCCCAGAGGCTTAATTTAGTCCTCTTTTCCTTCCCACCCTCTTTCTTATAAGCAAGGGAACATCAAAAACAAAGGACATCTGTTAATGACCCAGAACCAGATAATGGCGAATATGAGTAACAAGGAGGAAGCTAAAATAAACTTTTACTACTATCATAAATGCGACTTTGGATTAATAGGTGTTTGTTAGAAGGTATCTCCGAATAGCTGTATAGATTTCGCTAAAAGCCCGCATACAAGTAGAACATATTCTAGATGAACACAGTCTACCAATGAATTTTTTATTCCGTGCGAACGGAGTCGCAGGCGTCAACTAGTACTCCATTAAATTTTTAAACACGTAAAGGTATATCAAAACGATACACTTACAGCGATGAGTCAGCATTTGTATCGTTACGTAAATCAAATAAAATGACTGGCGCGTCGATTGACCCGTTGTACTGTTATGTGATGAACTTTTTAAATTTGTTAACAGCGATCTTATTTAAATATTTTAATATCATGTTTATTTATTACCAAATATATTAACGTGGAAGAATTAAAATATTCATTTCTTATAGAAAGGGTAACGAATAAGTGGGAGTTTTGATGGTATTTTGAGGTTAGAACTTATTTCATAGTATTTCTTTTTTTTATATCAGTAGGTGGCAAACGAGCGAGCGGCCACCTGAAATCGCTGAAATAGCGAAGTGACCGTTGCCCATAGACACATGCAATTGCATAGGCGTTGCCTACCTTTAATCGACGGAGGAGAGGATGCACAAATAGAAAATATTTTCCCTTTCCATGCATCCTCTCATCCGGAAAGTCCACTTCCACATCCCATCCTTTCCTTATAAGAAAGAGGGTGGGAAGGGAAAGAGGACTTTATAAGGCCTCCGGGACGCACACTCATCAGACGAAACGCGGAATTGCTTCCACTTCACGCCTGTCTTCTGTGTGGCTGTGTCTTGATGGCTAGTTACTTTTAAAATTTGAATATCGAAGGCGCTTATGTTTTGTGAAACATAACCTAAAAATTCCGCAACTTTTATTTGTGTTAAACATCTTGTTGTTGCTCTTTTGTTTTTAAAAAGAGAATCACAAGAGTGTGGTCGGTGGACCCAATAGTTTATCTTCTGCAAGATATAACTTCTAATTGTGAAAATACTGACGAAATTCGCTGTTTTGATGCTTATTTTACATATTATAAAATAATTAAAGGTAGGAATGTCGCATTTGTCGCAAAATATGCTCCCATTGATAAAAATGTCAGTTATTAACAAGTTAATCTTTGTTTGATGGATCGACTACTTAAACATCGTATCTCATTTAACTTATTTCTTTCTTTATAACATTAAGATGTAATTATAAAAATTACATTTCCTCTTAAGATATTTATATCAATATTAGCTGTCGCCCGCGACTTCGTCTGCACGGAATTAAAAAAAAAACAATAAGTAGCCCATGTGTTCTTCCAAGCTATGTTCTACATCTATGCAAAATTTCAGCGAGATCCATGCAGCTGTTCTGAAGATACCTTTAAACAAACATCTATCCATCCATCCAAACATTTGCATTTATAACATTAGTAAGAAGTAAGATTTAAAATACATTTTGAATGAAAATATTTTTACATGTTATAAAATAAAGAATTTTAGATGAAATTTATACGAACCTAGATCTAAAAATATATCTTATCCTATATATACTCGTATTAAAATGGTTTTGTATAACAAAATAAATAAAATTTTCGTTTATGTCCATCTTAAATTGATTTCATTTCATATTGGTGACTGTTGTTGTGTATTTAACATTTTTAAAGTACACAGAACCTAATTTTTGAGCATCCAACTTTTATAATCATAACACTTGAAGTTCGTTTCTTGTTTGAATATCAAACAGCATTGGGTTGTTTATTCGACGTAGTATAGTGCTATTCAAACTTTATGGTGACGACACGAGACGCAACACTGAACAGAATTTAACTGACATCATGTTAAATAACGCATGGGTTTTTGAGAATTTCTTTTGCCCAGAGAGGACGCCACTTTCGCAAACATATCTCAATTATAAGCGGTTATAAAGTTTGAACTTTGCAATATTGTAGAATGGTTAGGTATGTTGTTTGAACATTTTATTCTTATTATACTTGATAAAAATTGTTCGATATTTTTGAACACAAAAAATAAATCGGAATTTATCGATCGACATTAAAATTCTAATATAAAATTAGTAAGTCTATTTTTTCAATAAAGGGGGGGGGGGCAGTTAAGTAATTTATTTATTGAGTTGTTATTTACAATAAAATGATATATATCATAATTATACAATGCAAATTTATATAATATAATGCTTGTTGAAGGTCACACTATGTTGGCTTCCGTTTACATTATATACTTATATTAGTTTGTAATTTATTTATATAAACATTATTATATATAAGTACAGACACACGTCTAGTATGACTGTGAAGGGGTACACTGGTAGAGGTAGTCCTAAGAAGAGAGGGATTACGTGAAAGATGACATGATTAAGAAGGGGATGACGCGGGAGATGACGGTAGATAGATTGATTTGGAGGACGGAAATGTAGTGCACCAACCCTAGGTAGTGGGACAAGGACAGAGTGTTGACGATAATGGCGATACCCATGTCATATTAGGGTAGATATAGATTAAGGTTTTACTTTTTTTAATAAATATTTTTAATTGTTTCAGATGAACCAGCAATGTAAAGTGTGCGGGGAGCCTGCTGCCGGTTTTCATTTCGGTGCATTCACGTGCGAGGGATGTAAGGTAAGGATACATAAGTTTTATTATGTAAAATTATATACACAATATGAAACACAATACTTGTCACGAACCCATTCAGAAGCTTAAAATTTCTGTGTATTAAACATGTACGTAAATTAATTGAATATCAATCTCGAAATTTCTCAATTTTAATACGAGTATTTTTTCAAAGGTTTTTCGTTTATAAATAATTAATTTTAGATATTATTATGAAATTATAAAATGAAATTAATTCCAGTTTGATACCTTAACGCGTTTTTTTAAAAAGAGTCTTAACAGACAGACGGACGGACAACAAAATGATGAAAGAGGGTTCCGTTTTTTTTCTTTCGAAGTACGGAACCCTAAAAACAAGTTCTATATAGATGTTTCGAAAATTACGGTTAACTTTCGAAAACCACTTCGCTTATATACGTAACCTTTTGGGACACCCTATAGAAATTAGAAAATATCAAACACACTGTAAAGTCTCATACAAGTCTCACAAAGTATATTTAACTCAACGGTTATTCTACAAAGTTTTATTACTACAAATTGTTCCCCACAAATTATTGTCTGATGTACCAGGCATGTGTCACCCTAGCAGTATTTTTACGCCAACATGCGAATAGCCTGTGTGCAGAAATTTGCAGCCGCTAAGTGTTACGATGTATACAAAGCTATTTAAACACAAGACGGACAGTTGAATGGCATTATGCAGAATGAACGCATCCCATACGATATAAATCATGTTGATCGTTGAAAGAGGTCGGAATATTTAGATTCCTTTACTAAAGACAGATATCGGCAAATTTATTTGAGAAATTATCATTGGTTCTGTATATTTTATTTATTTTGAAAGCCCCAAACAATATTTAACGCTTTTGCATTTGTTTTTTTTTCACTAAATTATACTTCAAGTACCCAATAAAATACACTTTAACCGTTGGTTTCTGAAGTCAAAATCTCTGTATGAAACATATTGTCATACCTGTCTTTATCTTTGACAAAAAAGAGACAACAATATAGAAACAAGGATTTTGGTCTCAGAAACCCATGATAAATAGAGTACATTTAACGCATAAGAAGCGTCAATAGCCTAATGGTTAAGGGTACGGATTTCCGATCACGAGGTCGGGGGTTCGAATCCCGCCATTTGACTATTGTCGTAAACCATATCCTAGCACAAGCCTAGAGCTTAATTGGAATGGTAAAAAGAAATATTAGTGAATTTACAAAAAAATCAGCTAATATTTTAAATTAAACAAAATATATATTCTAAACTAATCATGCGTTAATTACGTGATTGCGTCGTTTACTTTATCCAGTAATTCAACCCTAGGTTTAAATTCATTCGCAATGTAATGCTTAAGTTTTATCGAAGCGTATTTCACGGGATCGTAATTTACACAATTATCGAATATAATGGCGTCTCGTAAATTGTATATCGCAGGTGTTAAAAATGAATGTTATCCGAAAAAAAAAGTGCTAATAATGAGCCACGACTCTATATAAAAAGGGCGCAAACAGTAATTAAGATTAATTTCTAATAAGTAATTCATATTATTAATTTTAATGTTGTGTCATTCAATTTATGTTTGATAAATTAATTAAATTGAACAAAGGTAAATAAGTATAGCAGAGTCACTTTACTAGGTCACATTTAACATCTATCAGTTTTATCTTCAAAGTGAGCTGCTGAAAAACATCGATTAAAGTGAATGAATCGATTCGGACTTTACACAAATGTGAATCGAATTCAGTTGTTTGGAAATATTCATTTTCGTTCGATTTTTTTGTAACATCCTTAGTGTCTGAAAGAGTTGACTAACGCAATATTGTAACAATGTTCAATTGACATGATTATAAAATGTATTCGATATTTTAAAAAAATTAAGTTTGAAAAATTAAAAATTAATTGTGTTGTTCTAAATTCAAAAAGTTAAACATTCCCGCCGTTACAATGTTAGGTGGTTTGTTTTTGATGAAGTGTCAAATGTGACTTATGTAAAAAAACATTTTAATATGAATAGCAAACTTCAATCGTTATGTAATAAAACAAAATGTCATTAACTTGTATGTGGATTTGCATATAGAACAGTAAATATTGAAGGCAAAATGCAGTTCTATACATTATTATCGAATTCATAATTAATATCGGTCACATGTAATGTCGCGTGATTGATGACATGAATCCCTATGGAGGTATTACGTGTCGCAATAGAAATTCTATTTGCTATTGAATTGTCTTATGGTTTCAAATTACAGGAATGGTGTACACATTATATTTTAACGAATAGAATAAACATAAAAGTAATAAAAATATATTATAATTGATGATCGAGACTAAGTCAGAGTTGATGATTAACGCCGTATGATTTCCTAATAAAGGGCCGACCAAGGCCTTTCGATGGGTTGCGTATGAACGGATGAATCGAAATCAAAGAGAAAATAAATGAAATTCACTGTTAGGATATTTATATTTTATATTTAATAGAGAAATTTGTTATATATATACATATTTTGTTACATTTAGTTTTAATCTCCAATTTTCTTTTGCTAAATCAAAATAATATTAAGAACAATTGCCTTCAACAAAAGGTAACACGTAATAAGTGAGTCGGGGCGGCGCACAGATAGCGAATTGTCGTCGCGCGACCGCCGCAGGCAATTTGCTACCCGAATCAATTTGCCAGCTTTTTGTCGCGCGATAATGTCGGCCGATTCAATTTTCTGTTAAGTGCGTTGAACGCGCCTCCCGCTGCACTTGTTTTGCGATAACGGACCTCGAGAACTGGACGCGATGGCACCGAGACAAAATTATAAAATAAACCCATTATAATGCGCACTAATCGCTTTAAAACACGTGCGTTGAACGCGCGTCAAACAATAACGAGACAACAGCACATAGCTCACTCCAAACTGAAATTTATAGCTATTAAATAAAGTCCTGTCACGAATTAAGTACTTAGGCTAAACTACGTAAATTCATACAATCCTCATCACTATGTTTCAAAGTTACATTCAAGATTTTAATAATTTTTATAAAGGATGCTTTATTTAGTAATTCTGTAATGAGATTTCTATACGAAACTAGCTGTCTGCGTTGAATAAAGAAAAACTTAATTAGTTCCCGGCAATTATTTGATTATTCCTCACATTTTAAAACTTCCCTAGACCTCCACGAACATTTCAAGACCAAGATAAGATAAATCTGTTCAGCCATTCTCGAGTTTTAGCGAGACTAACAAACAGCATTTGATTTTTATATATTACAAAACTTTACTCTTAATTTACAACATCCTGTACAGTTTTAAGGGACTTGTGCAATACGCGTTTTACGCAAAAAGCTCGCGTCTGATAACGTAGTACACTTCGCTTCAATGGAATTATACTTAGGAGAAGTTTTATGAATAATTGTAATAGCTAAGCGGCGGCGAGCTTTGTACTTTTACGACTTTAAAAATCATGAGATTGAAATTTTATTATCTATTTACAAGATTGAATTCGTCTTTCAATGTCCACAAAGATATCTGACAGTAAAGTTCATATAGATTTTATTATGTTTGTAAGGTTTTATTTTGAAATCTAAAACACAAAAAAAATTAGCAATCAATCGATTTGTATTTGAAATTATGTGATCTTCTTTCTATTGGTTATGCTGAGTATTTTTTTGCATCTGTTTTTTTTTTCAATATTTTAAAAATATACAAAAAGTAGCAACCGTATAATTTGACGTCAAATCACTTTTTACCATCAATTTTCGTTTAGTGGACATTAAATAAAACAACATAATAGAAATTTGCGTTAAGTGTTGTTAAAAGCTTTCTATAGTTAAAACTGACGTGTAATTTAAGCTAAAAAAATTAATAAAAGGCTTCCGTGAGCTGCTAGAAATTTTTAATTAATTATTTTACGTATTAATTTTAAGGAAAATAACAATATAAATTTTGACTGCTACAACCGAAGACGTTAAACGGTTAAGCAGTCCATAAGTCAAGATTTATGAATCATGCTGTATTACGTAATTTCAAACAATAATGTAATTAGTAGCTCTCAGCGTTATTAAACGCGGCTTTCATACAGTCTAGCGGCCGCGGCAGTGGAAATCGAACAAGTGACTCGCGCGTGGCCAGTCTCAAGTGGAAAATGGATTTAATTAGTCACTATTTATAGTTAAGACCTGACTATAAATTTGACAGTGATTAAGGAATCAAACGAATTCGGAAAGTCGTAAAACTATAAATAAAGAAATTCGCTATGGTTTTCTTGTACTAATTGTTGTTGAACTTTAATAAATCAACTATTTTAATGGACAATTTTGTAAAGAGCTATTTTAATTTAATTTTTTTGATAAAGTAAAGTAATCTAGATACAGTTTAACTAGCGATTATTTTTAAATCATTAAAATTATTTTGTTATATTATCTGTGTCTTTAGTTTTCTGATGATTTGTGATTTTTTTTTTAAATTTTCGTAGCGATATTCTTTACCTACTATGGCAGCCATACCTTCAAATCATTTAAGCTTCATAAAAACTCTATTTATAACCATCACCTACAACTTACCTTTTTTTGAACGTATTTAACAGTGGTACAGTTCATTTGAAAAATTTATTACAAAAGTCAATTTGTTGATTAAATTTTTAACATAATTAACAATTTATTCAAATGTATTTAAAACAGGAATACCTCAAACAATACGTAGGCGTTTACTACGTTCTTATTACGACGAATTAAGGTCCATATTAATTGGTCGTATATCATTATGTGACTTGATTCACAATTCTTATTTCAATGTTTGTTTTTATAATAAACCTACTTATTTTGATAGTATACGGAAGTCGCATTAATAGAATACATAATACATGGTTTTATAGATCACGAATAAACTATGAGTTGTTATTTTGATGACACTAAGACCGCCAGGTTCCATACACACCATCTCGATGGCTGGCAATCCACAACCGTGCGGTTTTCACGTAATTTTCTACCTCGCACAACCGTGTTGTGGAATGGTTTGACC